GTTGAAAAATTATTCCTCAAGCAAAGTACTATTATAATCGTGTCTTTTATATTATTTTAATGAAGGAAAGAATGTAACATTTGAGTTGGAAGTACTCCGTATTATTTATTTTTCTTTTTCCTTTTTTCATTCTTTGGTTTTTGAACACCACCACTGTGGCACAATAACAAAATGATATTTGTTTATTTTAAATTTAAAATAAATAAAGAAAAAAAAAATAATTTAGAATGTAACATTTGAGTTGGAAGTACTCCGTATTATTTATTTTTCTTTTTTCTTTTTTCTTTTTTCATTCTTTGGTTTTTGATCACCACCACTGTGGCACAATAACAAAATGATATTTATTTATTTTAAATTTAAAATAAATAAAGAAAAAAAAAATTAGTTTTAATTTTTTTCTCTTATATTCAAAATTCAAAGTATTTTATTACTACGTGATATTAGTGGCATGGAGGAGGTTCCTTCTTTTTGGTGAATAAGTATTGTTGTTGTTTTTTTTTTTTTTTTTTTTTTTTTTTTTTTTTTTTTTTTTTTTGGTGGATATATTACATTGCCATTTAGCGTTTATTATTTTGACATTTCTCTAAACCTGATTTTCAGCGGTCGGAAAGTAATTTTGATTGTAAACAGTCAATAATACCTTTATATTATAATTGAAACAAGTACAGAAAACATCCCTAAAGTATACTCTGCACCCCCTATTTAAAAAAGTGTGCAAAAAATACCTCTAATCTTTCACATGGTGCAAAAATACCCCTTTGACATAAATTAGTGTTGTAATACCCGTTTTGCCCTTTTACTCTTCCAAAAATGTTTAAGGGGATATATGTGCTACTAATTCATTGTATAAGGGTATTATGTGCATATTACCTTATATATATATATATATATTAAAAAACTTTTTTCTCTATATATATCTCTAAACATTTTTTTTTTATTTAAATTTTGAAAATTTGCAGAATAAGGATTTGAATTTTTTGAAATTCCAGTTTACACTTTTCTACTAATTTTTTTTTCATACCAACACTATTTAAATAATAATAAATTCCAATATCAATATGCACTGATTTTTAGAGTTTGGAAAAAATTTGTTTTCTTTAGTTTACACTTTATTTTTATTTTTTATTTTCTATTTTTATCTTTACTTTTTTTTATACTTTTTTTTTATTTTATATTTTTATCTTTACTTGTCCATTGTCAGCATCCTTCAATAGTATCATTTTCGGTCATTTTATAAATTTATTTATTTTTATATATTTTATAAAATGGTTCAGTAATTAAGGGTAATTTAGTCAACTTAAGGTTTAAATTTTTCAGAGGGACCTATTTGCACTAGATTGAAACTTTAGGGGTATTTTTTGCACGAGAGGGACATCCTCCAATAGTGACATTTTTAGTCATTTTATAAAATTATTTATTTTTATATATTTTATAAAATGGTTCAGTAAGGGTAATTTAGTCAATTTAGGGTTTAAATTTGTCAGAAGGACCTATTTGCACCAATTTGAAACTTTAGGGGTGTTTTTTGCACATGAGGTGTGTGATATGCACTATAAGCATACTTTAGAGGTGTTTTCTATACTTGACCCTATTATAATTATATGATATTATATTTTATATAAGAGAAGGGAAAATTATCATTTTAAAAACTTGATAAAAAATTCTACGGAAAAGAAAATCTAGAGGTGTTGTTTGAGTACTCGGGTCAAATCTCGAGAAAATCAAACTATTAAAGTGTGTAATTTGTCCAAAACTCAAGAGCGATCTGTGTAATTTTCTTTTTTTAAAAAAACTGGCTGTTTGTGTGGTGTGTTGTGCTTAATCACTTGAGAGATTAATTAATTTTATAGAAACATACCAAACTTACAATATTAAATGGTTAATTAATGACATGTAATTACAATTTGGTCCTTTCTTGTACCTCAAGAAGAATTTCATTTCCTTGTTACTAAATCGTCTATCATCTTATTTTGGTTTTTATTGATTTTTAAGGATTTTATTTTTTTTTATTTTTATTTTCCTGGCAAACAAAAGAAAAAAACTAGCAGAGAAAAGGACAGTAGTCCAAATCCACAAACTTAAGCACCTCCTCCGGAAGTCAAGAGATGACAAAATCAGCACGCAAGCAAGATGAGGACAGTGATGCAAGGGCATGGGCTCCTCGATTTCCTTGCCGCTGCACATGAGAAACCTTAACTCACGAGAAGAGGTCTAAATCAGTGCGAATATTATAGATACATGGGGTGATGACAGAAGGGCACCAAGAACCCACTTGTAGAGCTTCCACAAGATTTTTAACATCACATTCAAACCATACATTCTGAAAATCAAAAGCACGAGCCCACATGACAGCAAGTCTAAAAGCGAATGCTTCAGCCACCAATGGAGATGAAGCCGAAAATTGCTTTAAAAGTATTGCCTTAAGAACCAAACCTTTTGAAGCTCTGAAAATAGCTCCCCCACCCCCAAGGCCGGCTGAATAGAAAAAAGATGCATCAACATTGCACTTGATTTTGCCTAAAGGGGGAGGAGACCAAGAAAGAGGGGAAACAGAAGGTTTGGGAGTCAAATGCACATTCAAACAACATTACTACGAATGAAAAAACTCCTAGAAACTTTGGAATGCCTTGGAGGCCACAATTGAAAGATTCCAAAGTTCACCCTAAAAAATCAACCTGTTTCGAGCTTTCCATAAAAACCAACAGCAAAAGGAAATCAAGCTCATCAAAGAAACTCGCGTCGTACGGCCAAAAGCAATATTATGAAGGCTCAACCACCACTCTGAAAAAGAATTCACAATCAAATTAGAAAAATCCAAGCGAAGGGGAGTTAGCTTCCAAGTCTGCAAGGAGTGAGGACATTTAAAAAAGAAATGGAGAATATTCTCCTCCTCCACACCACAACGAGGGCACACCGCATCATCAATGAGACGTCTATGAAGACGTGTGGAACCCAATGGAAGAACATCACAATAACAGTGCCACAAGAAATGACTAATTTTAGGAAGAATTTTATAGTGCCAAATCTCTTTCCAAATTTCCCCCTCACCAACTGGAGTATGACAATGCTAAGACATAGCTAAGTGGTAAGCAGATTTAACTGTGAAACAACCTGATGTCTCAGGAGCCCAAATATAAGAATCATCTTTTTTTTTTTCATTCTTTGGTTTTTGAACACCGCCACTGTGGCACAATAACAAAATGATATTTGTTTATTTTAAATTTAAAATAAATAAAGATAATTTTTTTTTCTCTTATATTCAAAATTCAAAACCGATACATGTATTTTATTACTATGGCATATTAGTGGTGTGAAGGAGGTTCATACTCACTAGTGAAGAAATATTGTTGTATTTTTTTTTTTTTTTTCATTTGATATATTATATTGCCATTTAGCATTTATTATTTTGATCTCTCTCTAGACCTCAGTGGATGCCTGTGTGTGTAAGTAACAATTAAAAAAAAAAAAAAAAAAAAAAAACTTTTTTTCAGCGACTGAAAAGTAATTTTTGGTGTGAAAAATTAGTAATTCCCTTATATTATAATTATATTATATTTCATTTTATATAAAGAAGGAAAAAAAAATATCATTTTATAAAACTTGATAAAAAAATTCTACCGAAAAGAAAACCTAGTGGTGTCGTTGAGTACCCAGGTCAAAGTATTAAAGTGTGTAATTTGTTCAAAACACAAAGGAGACCGGTGTAATTTTTTTATTTTATTTTTATTTTTATTTTATTTTATGAGGAGGAGGAAGGGGCTGGCTGTTTGTGCTGTGCTTAATCACTCTAGAGATTAATTAATTTTATAAAAACATACCAAACTTATAATATTAAATGGTTAATTAGTGACATGTAATTACATTTTGGTCCTTTCTTATACCTCAAGAAGAATTTCATTTTCTTGTTACTAAATCGTCTATCATCTTATTTTGGTTTATTGATTTTTAAGAATTTTTTTTTGTCCCCGCCCATAGGAAATTAGCCGAAGGGTTCCCAACAACTTCACTTTCATTGACTTCGCTAAAATCAAGTAAAAAATGTACGGGTTACTATATGGCAAATTCAACATAAGACAAGTCAACAGCCAATCAAAATGTATTTAACATGTAAGTTCATTATACTACTCAAATGTATATAAATGTGGTCATAATAACTTTTGGTTTGAGGAATGATATACCAAAAGGATATGCCATTTTCCTCCGAAGGTTTGACCTCAAACGCGTCCACAATATGTCCTTTAGTTACATCATGCCAAGATTTGATTGCCGTATTTTGTTTTTATTTTTCAAATGGTGTGTCATTTCTATTCGAGCAATTATGAAAAAAAAAATTCTGAGTCAGAAGTCCAATACATGTGAGGGTTAAGGGGGGCACTTGACCCCACTAAAATTTTAAAATTTTTTTATTTTTACCTAAAAAATTAGATAATTATATAAATGCCCCCGTAAATTTATCCTTTACCATCACTGAAATTTTAAATTTTTTTATTTTTACCGATAAAACCTTGCATAATTATACAAATATCTCCATAACTTTATCCTTTGCACTCGTTGATTTTTTTCTCTCACTCACGTCCTCGTTATTGTTTAAAATCACCCCTGAAACAAATTTATGGGTCCGTCACTATATATATATATATATATATATATATATATATATATATATATAATTAATTAATAAGGAGTTGAAAATGATGAATTAGTATTAAGTTATTAACAGTGTGTGTGCATATGAGTTGTGAAATATTATCTGCACCCGAAAAAATTAATAAGGAGTTGAAAATGATGAATTAGTATTAAGTTATTAACAGTGTGTGTGCATATGAGTTGTGAAATATTATCTGGACCCGAAAAAAGGAGTTGAAAATGATGAATTAGTATTAAGTTATTAACAGTGTGTGTGCATATGAGTTGTGAAATATTATCTGCACCCGAAAAAAAAGATATATATATATATATATATATATATATATTTTGAAGATGTGGTGCTCAGTCTTACAGTCTGATGATGACAAAGGAAAAGATTAGAGAGAATACACGGAGTTATGGGCACCACACACATTCTTGGTGGAAGAAAACGAATTGGGAAAAGAATACTCTATTACATGTATGTTCCTTTCCATCACTGCACCTTCCATGAAGCTTCTTCGTTTCTTTCTCACCCACAATTGTTAATTTGTTGAACCGTACAAGAAAGGACAACATGAATATCGTGTGCATACCTCTACACCCTCTATATATAGCGTTCAAATGTGTAAGGTTGGTCATCATACATGGCATCACATATTTCGCGTACACATTTAGGTAATTTTTTGTTGCAGCTAGCATGTCTCCTCTCAACTCCGACGACCTGCACCGGATTTTCGAGAAGCTTGACCGAAATGGCGATGGTCTGGTGAGCTTGGAGGAGCTCAATTGGTTGCTGGAGAAGATCGGGATCCATGTCCACACGAACCTGGATGACCTCCAAGCTCTGGTGGGCAAAACGAGCCTGGACCTCCATGACTTCTTGTCCTTTTACGAAATTGTGATTAAGGAAAACATTGGCGAAAGCACGTCCGAGAATCATGAGAATGGTGGCTTGGAGGGTGATCTTGCTAAGGCCTTTGGGGTGTTCGATTTGAATGGCGACGGCTTCATTTCTTGCGACGAGCTCCAGAGTGTGCTATCCAGATTAGGGTTGTGGGACGAGCACAGCGGACATGATTGTAGGACTATGATCCATGTCTACGATACGAATTCCGACGGATTGCTCGATTTTGAAGAGTTCAAGAGCATGATGTTGGTTACCAATTCTTAGTTTGTTAAAGGGCATTTCATTGCACGAGGCTCCCGTCCTACGAGTCTGAGGAGAGTTTTCCAATCTCGAAGTGTAACCTTCATTATACAATGGTGTAACCTTAGGATGTGTCTAGGGCTTCCCTCCTACCATTATTCTTCCTATTGTATTATTGCTACAATTGTTCTTAGTATTGTATTATTGTTGTAAATATTATTATATATAGCAATTTTCATGAAAAGATGCTTATTTTTATAGAACAATTTGGTTTATAAGCTGCCTATTTTTATATTTTTAGAATAAATAAATAAATAAAATTGTACCTCAAGCCAAAGCATATGAGTTCAAGAATTAAATATTTGGCAACTGCTTTATTTTTGGAGTCCTTTAGCAGGGAAATTGGTTGATTTTATCTAAATAATAATAAATTAAATAAATATAAAAATAAAAATAAAAAGATGATTTTAGTACTCTTTGGCACAGAAGAAGATTGAGACAAAAACTATAGTGCCAAACATGTGTGTTTCTAACCATAGAATTTATAACAACATATATGTATGAATATTTTTTCTTGATTGGAATTTATTAATATATAAACATGAATATGAGAATATATATATATATATATAAGTAAACTACAATAACAAAATTAATTTTCCAAAAAGTAACTCTTACTGGCAAAATAAATAAATAAAAATAATTTCAAGTTCCAACTGGTCAGAGACTCAAAATGGAGCCTTTAGTTTCTGGCCCATTGCATAGGACTATCTATGGGTTGAATTTTCTTGGTAACTTGCGCTGAATTTAAACACATACAATTTCTTCTTGGTAAATTGGAGTTTAAAGGTTGTTGAGGTTTAATAATTGACCATATTAAACAATGACCTTTTGATTTGTAAAGTGACATCGAATCTCACCAAAGTCTAAAGCTGAAAATACTGTGAAGTCTTTAATAGAAACAAACGAACAAAAAAATTGTGGAATTGTTAAAGTTAAGGGAAGACTTGGAATTGTCATTTCAGAGCATTCTAATACTCGTTTTGGTCATAAGATACGAAACACGTGAATTTGTGTTTGACTAGTAACATAACTCAAATGGTATGAACTCTAATTTTTTAAAGGAGATATAGAGTATTTCAATTATGTTTGGGACAATATTATAAATTTGTGGTGTTAGTAGTTTTTTTAAAGATCTTTTAATCGACGGACTCCCCACTTGTACCAGTCACATAGCACTAGTAAGATTTAAGTCGCAAACTTGCGTAGCGGAGGGGATTTGAACCCACACTCGGTATACTGAATACGGTTCGTCTGGGGACTTGAACCCACACTCGGTACACTGAATACGATTCGGCTAAGTACAGAAGGTCCATCATACCATCCAAAAAAAAAAAAAATTCGGAATTGTTAAAGTTAAAGAAAGACTTGGAATTGTCATTTTAGATGATTCTAATACTTGTTTTGGTCAAAATATACAAAACACGTTAATTTGTACTTGGTTGATGATATGATCTATACTTTTTAAAGGAGAGGTAGAGTGCTCGAACTATGTTTGGGACAATATTGTGAATTTGTGGTGTTAGTGTTGTTTAAAAGGTCTTCTAAGTGGAGGACTCCCTATCCGTACCAATCTCACGACACTGGTGAGATTTAAGTAGCAAACTTGCGTAGCGGAGGGGATTTGAACCCACACTCAGTACTGAATACCACACTCGGTTCGTCCGAGTACAGAAGGTCCATCCTACCATCCAAATGGGCTACGTTTTTGACAATTATGTGTATGGTTTGGGCTTTGTGAATTAAACCCATACTAGTTATTTGTTTATTAATAAACACAGGCTAGGCCCAGATATCCTCCCAAACTTGCACATCTCTGTTTTCATCCCAAGCATGGATAACCTAAGTATATAAAGTAGGAACAAGAGTGGGAGAGCGTCAAAATTAAGTCAAAAATAGTGAGAACAAAAATAAGAAAGTGTGCAGAGCGTGACAGCGCTCAGAGCGGCATCACCAATTGAGAAAAATTGATGACTTAGTGCACAACATTCTCTCCGGCTCTCTTCTCAACTAAAACCAATGATTTTTTTTTGGATGGTCTTAGACATTTTAAGTCTATAACTAATTACTTACCCCAAATCTCTGTTACTTGCTAAAAGTGTATTAAAGACATTTCTGGTCATTATTTGTTACAATTCAAGTGAGATTACACTTTTGTCCACGTAACCAATCTCCCTAATTTTTATTTTCAAAGCTCTCCCTAATCATCTTTTTGGAAACAAGAGTTTGGTACCATGTTAAACAACTATTTGTCTCAAGTTTAAACTGTTGAGGAATGGACTACACAATATATATCAAACCATCCACAAAAACTTCTACCAGTACTGGTTTATGGTTTATAAATGCAATGTAGCTTATGAATTTATCTTGAATCCAAATCTTTTGGCTCAACTTTATCCAAGCTCGCAATGGAGCATTCGGGTTTTCACCTTGAGTTGGTTGAAGTACGCGGAATAAATAAATGCCTTTAAGTAGAACCAAACACTTCTTGAAAACCATTAAGCCTTTTTAAACAGGTAATCTGGAACTAAAACATCATTTACATTCAGAGTTAACCTGCTCATGAACACTAAGTAGATGAGGATTGCATCCAATGAAAAACTCAAAAAAACCAAAATGGAGGATAATCTTGCCTCAGATTAACATATATAGCCCAAAAATCATAACTTCACTAGCCTATGTCTTCATGGAAGAATCCTTTGGAGCAGCAGTATTAACCTGCTTGGAGAGATAAGCTTCGTAGATTTCTACCACAAGCCGGGGATCCTTTTCCACGAGTTCTATATACTCCTCTCGCTTACTTAGCTTGTCCATGTTGCCCATGATCAATGCCAAGGATGCATCAAGCAAGTCCTTTGCATTGTGCTGGTAAGCGAAGGCATAGGTCATGAGTGAATTCTCCCAGTCCAATTTGGACACCAAGAAATTCTCGCAGTAGGTCTTGAGATGCTTCACTTCATATTTTTCAGCCAAGACTAGAAGGTCACAAGCCATTTGCTCGTCAAGCCATGTTTCTGCAGTGTACAAATAGTTGACAAAGGAGCGAAGAGCATCGTATGATACTTCACTGATCTTGATGGTGCCACTCAGGCTTTCCTCCATTTCACTTTCAAGCATGGCTCTGAATACAGGGGAACGGCTGGCCTGATTACTCAGTAAAACGATCAGAGAAATAAAAATGTAAGAAGGTAATAACAAGAAATAAAGGGATTGTTTGCTTTGTTATGGAACAGGTTTTTCAGTGTTAGAAAATCCAATACTAAATGTACAAAACTCCAACTCTAACTAAGAAAAAAAAAAATGTACAAAACTCCCTTTAGTGCACAGTTTAAAGTTACATTCACGATACAACACGACACAGCATGACTGCGTGTTCAACATTACTAACAGAATAGAAGTGGCGGCAAATTTTTGAGTTTTTAAAAATCCGCGCCTTCTGGAAACTCCGGTATGCCACTCCTGTTCATTCTAAAAGAATGAACTATAAATTACCAATATATAGGAGGAGATAATTTTTTCATATTTAGTACATGTTATCTAATCCATAGGTCGCCAAACATGGATGATTAATAATTTGATTGCTGTGTTTGATTGTAAAACAGGAAAAGCTAAGATCTCTTGTGCCTTCAATAAGGGAGGGGGTTATAAATAAAAAGGTAGTAATCAGATATCCATAATGAACTTTTGACAAACCCAAATACCCAATTAATGCAACACGTCGCATTGGTCGTATTACATTATACTAGAACTATCCAGAATTGCGTAAGACAAAATAACAACAAAACTTTGACTATATGGATCAACTATATAACCAAACAAGTACGCTAAATTCCGTAAGGCTTGTTTGCAGAATAAAAAAAACTTGAAGTGCATTGTGTTACACTACAGTGGTTCATCAATGATTGTAGTGAAAAAGCAGTGATATGACATTAAACTAATACCACCACCTCAAATCAAAAGCTTTGTGCGATTGATAATGTGACATGTGACACAAAAATGCACCACTTTTTCGCTCAGTTGCATATAAATCAAAATATTATCATTTTGCTAATGATAGGATTCAAATGTACTTGCATTTTTTGTATATAAATGTACTTGCATTTATATTTTTATGGATGATTAGTAACATTTTGCTAATGATAAGATTCAAATGACAAAAATTGCACATCTCAAGTGCAAGTAAATACATATTATACACTTGCATTTTTAATTTGAATCTTATCATTAGCAAATTTTGCATAAAAATAACTTATTCCTACAAAAGAAAACTTTATTTCATGCCTATTATTATTGTCTACAGAACCATATCCTAACAATTTGGGGTGGGCAACACAAATCCTGTTCCACGATAGAGTTCTACCTACCTATCATGTGATGGGTTCCTATATTTGCACATGCATTAAAATTCAAAGTGACAACTGATGGACCTATATGAGAGAGAGAGAGAGAGAGAGAGAGAGAGAGAGAGAGAGAATTCTTAAAGTGAATAGACAAAACGAAATAGCTAGCCAATTATGTTGACATCATCAAATGCATTTGTGTGCATGCAAATACATCCTACAGCTATAGACACAGACTCGTTTAGGTATTTCAACTGTTTTGTTCGGCCCTAGTAGCACTAAGAGAAAAAAGATTAGTTATCATAGAAGATAAGAGATAAAGAGGTCGTCCAAAACAAAAAATGTGATGAAGTAATTAAAAATGATTTTAGAAAATTAAATATAATAGGAAGCATGGTTTGTAATAGAGAGAAAAAAATAAAATAAAATAAAATAAAATGAAGAATTCATGTGGTCGACCGATGAAGACAGACCCATGGTTCGCCAAGCTGGCCACTTCACAACTGAGAAAGGGACCCTCGTCTCCTATACTCGCCAATTTATCGATGAGTCCCAAATTCACCACCAAACTGGCCGGTTCTCCAGAGAAACGGCTAGAACCAGCCAATTCTTTGTAAAGCCGGTTAGGGCAACCACCCAGCATGGCTTTATTTAAAATATTGAACCTGGGAACTCTATGAGCAAGGTAAGAGTCTTTGCCACTCGGTCAACCTTCACTTTTGATACACCATAACGGCTACTTATTATTTAATTAGTTTGACATTCAACACATCCTTTAAAAATGTCAGAAGCACCGATTTGAGAATTGAAATTAACCATATTTAAGAATTCTAGTACCTTTGCCACTAAACCCAGCTTCATCTTGTATGACTATTAGTTCTTATTTATTTTTTAATTGATACAAAACCCTTTAGCTAGTAACTCATTATTGTAGACAAATATAATATTTATTTCATGTGTAAAAAATATTAATTTTTTCTAATTTTTTTAATTTTAGATTTGATCTTCCATTTTTTTAATTCTCGGCATGTTATAAATGGCATGAATTTTCATTTATTTTATTATTAAGTTTACTTTTATTCATTGATTTTGTTAAAAGAATTAGACGATGACTTAGAATTCATAAATAAATCATTACTTTTGTTAAATGGTCTTAAAAAATTCAATAAAAATCGCTAAAATTCATTTTATTGAATTATGTTATAAAAAGTTGGGGAGTAAAATGATTTCAAGGTATTCACAATATAATTTCAAGCTATCAACAAGATCAAAAGAACAAAGAATGAACTCATGTTGGACAGTGGAAGGCTGGCATTTCATTTGGGGAGTATTCTCAAACTTCAAATAAGATATGGTTCAATCCTTATTCATCCACCAATCCCAATTACACAATCGCATTAGGCCTTTGGTACGCAGGAATGGAATAAGCATTCCATTCCAACCATTCCCTTGTTTGGTATGACATTTAAAGTGGGAATGACTAGGGCTGCAACTTGGGCTGGCTAACCCAGCCCAACCCAACCCCAACCCAAAAATTTTAAAATTTGGGCTTAAAATTCACAAATCGGGCTCATGTTCGGCTTAGGCTCGGGCTCAACCCGAACCCAACCCAAAAGACAAAAAAAAAAAAAATTAATAAAAAAATTTCTCCTCTCTCTTCTTTCTCTTTCTCTTGCCGCCGCTGTCCTTTGCCCTCAGCCGCCGCCACCACCGCCGTCCCTCCGCCTCTGCCGCTGCCTCCGCCGCCGTCACTTCCAAAAATTAAAACAAAACCCATACATATAAGTTAGCAGTTGCAGAGAGAGAGGGGGGCAAGCTTGAGAGTTGAGAGACAACGGCTAAAGCTTGCGAACGGCGAACCCGAACTGGAACAGCGGGCGATGCAAACTGAAAGATATGGGTTTTGATTTTTTGAACAATCTGAAATGATATGCCGATGTGGGTTTTGATATAGTTAGCAGGTTTTGAACTTTTGATTCTTGCAGACTAATAGATAAACTGAAATATATGGGTTTTGAACTTCTGATTCTTGTAGATTTTGCAGTTGCAGAGAGAGAGAGAGAGAGGGCAAGTTCAGAGTTGAGAACGAGAATAGAGATGGAGGCAATTGGGAGGCAGAAATGATTTGCCCTAAAAAAAATTTTGTTTTTTAATAATAATATAATCAAATATATATAAATTTCCCAAAAAAAAAAAAAAAAAACAAACACTCAACCCATCAACTCGCCCGAAAATATTTGGGCTAAGTTTTTTACCATAACCCATGTTTGGTACAATTCAGACTGGCCCAACCCAACCCGATTCGGGTTGAGGTTGGATTGGGACTGGGCTGGATTAGGCCAACCCAACTTGCAGCCCTAGGAATGACCATTTCCTTGGAATGAAAATCCATTCTACTTCCAAAACGGATGGAATGAAATTCTTGGCCTTCAACACCACCACCACAATCCACCACAACAACCACCACCACAACCACCACCACCACCACCGCCTTCCCCCACCACCACCACCACAACCACCGTCGCCTTTCGCCACCACCACCACCACCTTCCTCAACCGCCGTTGCCGCCTTCCGCCACCACCTTCCCCCACCGCCACCAACTTCCTCCACCACCATCGTTGTCGCCACTGCCACCGCCTTCCGCCACTGCTGCCGCCATCTTCCACTACCACGCCGCCACCGCCTTCCACCACCACCGCTTCCTTCCACCACCACCGTCGCCTTTCTTCACCACCTTCCGCCACCACTGCTGCCGTCTTCCACCTGCCTTCCACCACCACCAACGCTGTCCATCACCATCACCGCCTTTCGCCGCCACCACCACTTAGAATTGTGATTATCAATTCATTCCCACATCATTTCATATTTGCAACAAAACAAGAGAATGAGAATGGCCATTCCATTCCATTCCCAGCTTCATTACATTCCATTCAATTTCATTCCTGCGTACCAAACTAGGCCTAAAGTTCTTGTAATAATAGCTAGTTCGCTACTACTTACAAACTAATTACACAACTAAGGTCTTAATTCATGCATTTTTGCCCCAAATTGCACCTTCAATGCCATATGGATTGAATAAAAGTGGATATATTGGGTAAAATGGTTCATCACCGGATTATTTAATCCAAGATAATCCTCCGTCAACTTATTGACGTTTTAATATAAACGTTTGACTCTAGCTACCAGTGACACATTTTCAAATACCATAGCAACTCAAATTTACATCAACAATTTACACATGGCAAGAAGTGAAAACACAAAGAAAGTATTGTCACTACTGGACTCACAGTAAATTAACACATTTCAGCAAAATTAATGTTCACGGCAAACAAAAAAATTAAGACAATATTATCATGAGTTATCAAAGAACGTAAGGTGAGGCTTAAGAAAGAAAGGCAAGTTCTTTCCACACACAATCAACCACATATCTCGAATCATTATTTAAGAAGTATAAAATGTTTGAAGTGGCCACTTGAAATAGCATAACATTGTTTGATATTTTCCAGATTGAAGTGCATGCTGGAGAGGATTGAAGTGGACTGAGGTGCCCTTATATATTCACTCATAATTTGTTTGCTACTGACTGGTCTAAGTTTGAATATATTTAGTTTCTCGATTTCCTAACATTATGTACATTATATAGATTCAAGTTTCAAAGTTCTTCCATTAAGGTTGGTTGCAAATACTTTACAAACTCGAACAAAGTATTTTTTTTCTTTTTCATTTTGGTAAAAATATATAACAATCTTTTAATGTTACTTGAAAATATTTCCTCATCTAAAAGATTGCAGCCTACAACAATC